TACGAATCTGGACATATATATATATATATATGTATATATATATATATATATATATGTATATATATATATATATATGTATGTATATATATATATATATATATGTATGTATGTATGTATGTATGTATGTATATATATATATATATATATGTCTAGATTAATAGCTAGGAATTGTTTTTTATAAAGTAATAACTGATTAAAAAAATCAGCAGAGATGCATGATCCCAATGCTAATGTACATGATACTGTAGATCAAGAAGTTGTAAAATGATAATGAAAGTAAATATGTTTCTAATTAATCGGATTTCAAATATAGCTAACTGAAATTTTCAAAACTGCAGAAAAAGACGCAACCAAAGTTATCCAAGTCATACCAGTGGCCAGCAAGGCTGCGAAGCCCTATATAAAACCCAGAGATCCATCCAAGCTTCCTGCCCCCACTGTCCACTCTCACACCAAAACCAGTAAAAAAATATCGTCACCTTCGCCGGCGAGATGGCCCACCGCCGCATCATCCTCCTCCTCGCCGCCGCCGCCGTCGCCGCGACCTCCGCCGTCGCCGCCGCGTCCTCCGGCTTCGACGACTCCAACCCGATCCGCTCCGTCACGGACCACGCCGCCTCCGCGCTCGAGTCAACCGTCATCGCCGCCCTCGGCCGCACCCGCGACGCCCTCCGCTTCGCCCGCTTCGCCGTCAGGTCGGCGCCGCCCCCCCCGTTCGGTTCCCCCTAATCCCACCCCACCGCCGCTGCCGCCGCCGCCGCCGCCGCGGCCATTCGTCTTCCTCGTCGTCCTGACCTCTCGTTCGATCTCGTCCTACGCGCAGGCATGGGAAGAGGTACGGCGACGCGGCGGAGGTGCAGCGGCGGTTCCGGATCTTCTCCGAGAGCCTCGAGCTCGTCCGCTCCACCAACCGGAGGGGCCTCCCCTACCGCCTCGGCATCAACCGTAGGACCTCGAGCCGAGCGCCTCCTAATCCTCCTAATCCTCCTCTCACACACCCCCGTCGCGGTGCTTTTGCAGGTTTCGCGGACATGAGCTGGGAGGAGTTCCAGGCGAGCCGGCTCGGCGCGGCGCAGAACTGCTCGGCGACGCTCGCCGGCAACCACCGGATGCGCGACGCCGCCGCTCTCCCGGAGACCGTAAGTGCCAAAGCTCTGTACTGTAGTAACGTGGTAGTAACGGTAGGTAGCCACACACACACACATGTGGGAATTGCTTCTTGGGGAATTCTTGCATCATCCGCCATGCGTGAGCTGGGGATCAGGCTCGGAGAGGGTTTTAATTTCTGATCTGAACTCTGGGCTTTGCAAGGAACAGCAAGATTTGCTTTGCTCATCGCTGCAGCGTTCGCTCGATTCGATTGGCTGTCCCTACCACGTGTTACTGTGTCCTCGCGGTCGCGGCTTCTATACCCCGTAAAGAACATTTTTTAATGACCACTTAATTTCTTCTGTGACCTCTGCACATGATGTAGTTACTGATACGAACAACGAGCCTGCTATGCCTGGTTAGTTTTCTGAAAAATAGAAATCATCCATCTTTTTTTATGAGGGGTTGAACTGTAGTGTACAGCATTTCTGCCCGTATTTGTAGGTGCGATTGTGAGTTGTGAGAGTATGGCATTCATACTCGCAAGACTGTGGTCCTTGCATGCTTATTGTGTCGCTTGATCCGGCCATACAGTGTGTCGTTACATGCTTATTGGGTCGCTTGATCAGGCCATACACTGTGTGTCTGTGTCCTTGCATGCTAATCGGTCCCATCAGGTTATGCATTTTGTACGTTTTAGCACTGAATTTTGGGGGACTTTTTTTCCTGATTGTTTTAGTTACTGCAGAAAGACTGGAGGGAGGATGGGATCGTGAGCCCCGTGAAAGACCAGGGTCACTGTGGTTCCTGTTGGACCTTCAGGTAACTACTTTCTGGTGCAAACTGTGTGAGTATTTTTCTAGATGCAAACTGTAGTAGTAATTTGAGAAATTTTGGTCCTCAAGGTACCTAAATTTTACACTAATTTTTTTTTACCCCGAGGTATTTACTAACTTAAAGATACCAAATTTTATACTACAAAGTGTGATATACTGATATCTACTACTCCCTCCGTCCTACAATATAAGGGATTTTGAGTTTTTGCTTGTAACGTTTGACCACTCGTCTTATTCAAATTTTTTTTGCAAATATAAAAAACGAAAAGTTGTGCTTAAAATACTGGAGATAATAAAGTAAGTCACAAATAAAATAAATAATAATTTCAAAAAATTGTGAATGAGACGAGTGATCAAACGTTACAAGGAAAAACTCAAAATCCCTTATATTATGGGACGGAGGGAGTAGTATTTTTTTAAGGATGATAAAATTACTTAGTACTATCTTTTGAGGTGCAACATGTATTGGTAATCCTGTTGTGCTAATAACAATAGAATCCATCGAACGAAAAAGAAAGAATCCGTGCTATTTTTCTAAATATCTTCCCTGAACTACTGAACCTATAAAAAAAAGTTACGGCAAAGTGTGCTAACAAACGGGGGTTGCTTTGATAATTATTGAACTGAACTTTCGAAATTACGTGTAAAAGGCTATCTTACCAGACAGGAAGTACCAGTTGGAGTCTGCTTGTCTGGCGTCAGGACTCGCAAACTCTGATTCAATCATGGTCTTGAAAGTAATCGGGGTGGATGCACTTTCCAATTGTGCTGCTTTTTGGTAAATAGTTTTAAACTACGTTGAATGGGGACTGGCAGATCAGTATGTCGGTTAAGCTGGAGATTGCTAACTCTCGAGTACAGTAGGTGAGAACTGGAGAACTTTCACCACAGAAACGATTACAAAAATATTTGAAAATGTTAAGCATGGGACTTAAATTATTGCACTCGTGTGACATGCGAGTAATAAAATAATGGAGAATCTGACATTATTGTCTAACTAGGGTGTGTTCGCTACTAGAGGTTCCCAACCAAGAGCGGTGCACGCGGAAAATGGAGCGGTCCATTAGCGCGTGATTAATTAAGTATTAGCTATTTTTTTAAAAAAAAATAGATCAATATGATTTTTTTAAGCAACTTTTGTATAGAAACTTTTTGTAAAAAAACACACCATTTAGCAGTTTGAAAAGCGTGCGAGCAGAAAACGAGAGGGGAAAGTTGGAACCGGCAGTAGTGACGAACACCCCTCTAGTGCTGCTTGCATAATCTGTTTCGGTTGCTGATAATGGAGCCTTTCATATCTCCTGTCTATTTGACTTGTACTTCCTCCGTCCCAAAAATAGGTGTCCAGATTTATCGTTAGAATTGGACTTTTTTTTTTGGACGGAGAGGTATCTGTCACTACTCTCAAATAAGCATACAATTCAATTATCATATGTCTTTCATGAATTTATTCTGTTACTTTTCGTCCATTTGGCATATATTCTTGCTACTCCACAAGTATAGTGGCAAATATGCTTCACATACCAATTGACAAACCTATGTTGAAAATGTTCCTGGAATGTTACTTTCGATTATAACTTTATATAGTGTGACCGTTGTAGAAAAGGTGCCTCATTTCAATTATAGCAGACAAAGTAGAAAAAAGGAAAGTCACGGGTGGGGGGGGGGGGTCCTATAATCAGATCATTTGAGTGACCTTTAACTTATTCTGGCAGCACCACTGGTTCTCTTGAGGCAGCATATACTCAGGCCACTGGGAAGCCTGTCTCTCTTTCTGAGCAGCAGCTGGTTGATTGTGCTACTGCATACAATAATTTCGGATGCAGTGGAGGCCTACCATCTCAGGCCTTTGAGTACATCAAATACAATGGTGGCCTTGACACTGAAGAGGCTTACCCTTACACGGGTGTCAATGGCATCTGTCATTACAAGCCTGAAAACGTTGGAGTCAAGGTTTTGGACTCCGTTAACATCACCCTGGTAAGGAACCCCGTTGTAAAGTTTGATGGGAGCATCTAGAATATACTGTTCTGATTTATTGATCCTCTTTTTTTGGTTATTGCTCTGGTAAGGGTGCTGAGGATGAGCTGAAGAATGCTGTTGGACTTGTTCGTCCAGTTAGTGTTGCCTTTCAGGTGATCAACGGTTTCAGGATGTACAAGAGTGGAGTTTACACAAGTGACCATTGTGGAACTTCTCCAATGGTGAGTGTACAAGAGATCTAGCTCATTTTTCAGTATATGATTTGATTTGTTTGTGTAGAGTTTTTCTTTGTATGATTACTGTCCAATTATACCCTGAATTGTGAGTTCGAATGCTACTACTAGGATGTGAACCACGCTGTTCTGGCCGTTGGCTATGGTGTCGAAAATGGCGTTCCCTACTGGCTCATCAAGAACTCATGGGGTGCAGACTGGGGTGACAATGGTTACTTCAAGATGGAAATGGGCAAGAACATGTGCGGTAAGTTTTCCATATTGACGTCCATGGCTACGATGAACTGATATCGCATTTGTTACGCTGGATATATTGCACTGCATCACAATATTGACTTGAATATAAATTATGCAGGTATTGCTACTTGCGCATCCTACCCTATTGTTGCATGAGGTGCCCACGGATTAGTTCCATTGTGTCAATTTAGTTGGCCTCAATAATATATTTTTCTGTCCAAGGATGAAGATGGGTATACAGAAACTGAAACTTTCTTGTGAATATAAGATCATAAGGACATGAATTAGCCCAGTGCATGTAATCTTCTCCTGTATGGTTGTGTAGGTAATCCAGCAATTGGGGTTTCAGAGTACTCATTACATGGCTGTAAATTCCTATTTATGCGACAGAATGGCCTATTCATATTTCATAGTGCAGTTACGAAAATTCCGGGTCATGTGTACATTATTATTCGAGTGATTTTACAGCCATCTATTATAGTTTCTGGTATAAAATTTGATAACTCTCGGTACTTCCGGTACTAGAAAATTTATACTAAAAATTTTAGTACCACTGGAGGACCTTCAAATCTCTTATTATTCTCGCCATGTTTAGTTCCAAAGTTTTTCTTCAAACTTCCAACTTTTCCATCACATCAAAACTTTCCTACACACACAAACTTTCAACTTTTCTGTCATATCGTTCCAATTTGAATCAAACTTCCAATTTTGGTGTGAACTAAACACAGCCTCTGTCTTGTCTCTCTACTCTCTGAAGTTCAGTTCAGTTCACCGCATGGATGTTTCATGATCCATTTGGAACGCGGGTGACTTTTCTTGTTCCTGTGAAATTCCTGTCGAGTTTAGTATCCTTCAAAGTTCAAACAAACAGGAAAGAAAAATAAAATTGGAGAAATGTGAACCAACTTTTTTTTTGCGCATGATGTAGCATCTCCAAACAGAAATGCAAACTTTGCCAATTTCAGACGGTTGCTGTACCGAACACTTTCAAACTTTTGCCAATTCAGTGCTCACTCAACGAGCGTAAAGAGTTGCCAAATTTTTGTACTACTACATCCCAACCGCGTGCATGGCACACGGCACGGCCAGCGCCGCCGCCGCCTCTTGATCTCCGTCTGTTTCTCACGCGGAGGTTCGCCCGTTCGCGCCGTTTCGAGTTAACCGGCGCGCGTTTTCACCGCGAACTACCGCCAGTGAAATCACGGCCGGTTTAACCTCTACATATATGGCGGCCGCTCTCCCTTCCTACAGCTTCGCCTCCCGTCGCGCTCCGTCGCCTTCAACCTCTGCCAACGTCAGGCGATCCGGTGAGTAAGTTCTTCCTCCATTTTTTTCCTCTGCTCTTGCCTCTCTTTTCCGAATCAAAATACAGCGAGATTTCTTTCTTCTCTCTGAACTTCACCGGTGCAACAAAATTGAACCATCGTTGTAGGTTCGTTCGTTCTGAACTTTTCAGAATTTCGCGGTATATGTTCAGTGTTCATGTCAGTAAAGATAGCCCGCAAGGTATAGGAGAGGAGAATTTGATTGGCCCTCTGTCACTGGCATGGTGGGCCAAGCGCTTGCGCCTCTTGGAGTAGTATCTTGTGGTGTAAGCCAGTGCATGCAACCGACTTAAATTAGCACCGACTTGATTTGTCATTAACTGATCAAGATCTTCCTTGCTGGGAACGGAACATAGAAACGGCAAGAGATCTGTGCCCCACCATTCAACTTGGCATCCAAGTAGCTTTCCACACTTCCATTGGTGTAACCGTGTAAGATAACTAGCACATTCCAAATGTAAACCGCCATTACTAATATCAAGTTCAGTGCTGTTCACCGTGTGTTTGCGTGCGTGTCGCTGTCATTTTCGGTGTCAAAAGTTCTAAACATTTGGTTTAGTTTAGGGTGATTCTCTCTTAATCTTCCCCTGCATGTGATGTGACAGGCTCATCTGGATCTCTCTGGCTTGCCGGCTAAGGAACACCGGGTGCTATTTATCAGGGAGCCCTTCACACCGCAGGGGAAAGTTGCAGCTATTTTGTCACTGCCCCTTGTTGCATCTTGCTCCGGCGATTTGATTTAGAATTTTAGGTTGTTACTGGCTTCGATTAATCATATTTTAGTCTGAACAAATTTGCAAGTTAATTCCTATTCTGTTCAATTCGGTGATTCAATTCGATTGGGGTCTTTGGGTTTAAGAATTTCAGAATGTTATTAACACGGGGCGTAACAATCTGCATCAAATGAATAGGCTTTAATTCTTGCCTTCTTGATTGTTCCTTCCTGGCAGGAACTGCAATTAACCCGTGATTTTACTCACCAAGATCGCTTCTTGCCCGGTGCAAAGTTCACCGATTTCACCATGAGGAGACACGCAGGGACGATTATCCTGTTGTTGATCTTGGCCTGCCTATGGCTGTGCCCTGGGAGGAGCAGCGGCTTCTCGTGGAACATTTTCTCCTCGTCGTCGTCGTCTTCGCCGCCGACGGCCGGCGAGAGCCGCGCCGCCCCGATGCTGGAGCTGGACGGCGCGGTGGCCGACTTCTTGATGGACGGGGCCGACGACCCGAGGGCGGTGAAGCTGCTGGAGAACGCGAGGAGCAAGCTCGCCGGGCCGAGCAACTGCTGGCAGGAGGCGTACCGGAGGCTGTTCGCCAGCTGCGGCGACATCATGGCCGACAAGGAGATGCAGTCGCGGCTGGCGTGGCACCTCAGCAGCTGCTTCCAGGAGGACTCCGGCCGCCCCCCGTTCCCTCGCTGCGGCGAGGTCTCCGACATGGTGCACTGCCGCAAGAGGCTCGGCGTCTCCGAGGACCAGGTGTTCCTCGAGTTCTTCCTCGAGACCAACACCCTGTGCCACCAATTGCAGTAAGTGCAATTCTCCCATTTTCAGTTTGCAATTCACTTCTGCTTCTTGAATTTTTCATGTTTTGTTGATTTGTGTAGAGCTGAAGCGTTCAAGCATAACACGGAGAGGCTTGTCAACGACCTGACAAGGACATCCAAGTCAGCCGAGGAGAAGCTGGAGGTGATCGAGGAGAGGTCAGACCAGATCATACAAGAATCACGCAAAGTTCAGGAGACGATCTCGTCGATCGAAATGCAGGCAGATCATCTCGCAGAGGCGTCGAAGAATGTCGGAGACCAGATCGACGACGTGCTGGCTCACTCCAAGGCCATCTTTGAGCAGTCCAAGGAGATTGCAGACTCTCAGGCAAAGCTCAGAGAAGGGCAGACCGAGATGAGGGAGACGATCGATGCCGGCATGACGCATATTCAGGAGTCGTATGAGAGCCTTGGCAATGGGATGGATAAGCTGAAGGAAGAGGCTGTTGATATTCAGAGGGAGATCAAAACTGTTGGTGATTCCATGTCCACCAAGATGCAGGATTTGCAGAGCACTGCAAATGATATTGGGAGTGTGGCTGGCAAATCATTGGAGAATCAGATGCAACTTTTGGATGGACAGAGCAAGGCCATGGACGGTCTGAATAATCTGTACAGCTTTCAGGCACAAGCTCTTGAGGAAAGCAGGTATTTTAACTTCTCGCTTCCATTATTCTTTTTTTATTTCATTGTAAAATATACTGATTTTGACTGGAATTTTCAGGGAGACTGTGCAAAAACTTGCACAGTTTGGCCAGCGTCAGCAGGAAGAGTTATTGTCCAGGCAGGAAGAAATCCGGCAAGCTCATGAACACCTGATTCATAATTCACACTCAATACTGGAAGCTCAGGTTATTGTCTCCTCCTGCATATCAGAATACGAGAATAGTTTTCCTTTTGTTTGACTGCTTAACCATGATCAATCAGTAGGCATAGGATTGACTTCTTTTTCAACTGATCTTTTTTCCTTTTGTCCTGCAGGAAGAGTTCAGAGCAAAGCAGGCCAACATTTTTGCTGCTCTGGACAAACTTTACATCCTCCACAACGCCATCTTAGCCGAGTCACGTTTCATCAAGGCGTTCTTCTTCTACTGCTGCATCGTGTTTCTCATCTACATGCTCACAAGCGCGAAGCAAACTTTCAGCATCAGGGGACATCTTTACTTTGGTAAAAAAAAAAACATCTCAGGATATTTCACATACTATTAGCAGTTACTACCTGTATTTACACCTTGTAAAATGCTCAATTGCTATTGCTTTTTACTCTCCTGGCAGGCTTGTGCATCACGCTTCTGCTCGAAATTGGCCTGATCAAGCTCGGAGCTGACGACATCGACAAGCAATTCTGGGTCATATCCAAGGTGTTCCTTGTCAGATCAGTGTTCCTTGCACTTGCCACCGTTCAGATGTTGCATGCCATATTCACATTCAGGTAACCACCAAATCCAGTCCATGTTCATCACGATCAGATCTTTGCATGCATTCGTGATTCATCTCAATCTCCTGGTAATTAATTAGCCTGTAAACTTTTCTTCAGGGATTACGAACTACTCAACCATCACCTGCTCCAGACGCTGGTCGAGAAGGTCCGGGCGCTGGAGGAAACCGCCGCCGCCGGCGAGAAGATGCTGCCCTACGGCGGCGGCGGCGCGGAGAGCGAGAGGAGCCTGATGGACTACTCGTGGGTGTTCGACGAGTTGGCCGACGAGGTGGACAGCAATGCGGATCCGAGCTACGCCTTGCCGGGGGATGAGCAGCGGCAGGTGGCGGTGGTCGCTCCTCGCCGGAGGCACTGCGCCTCGCCGGAGGAGGTCGTCGGCGAGAACTCCATCACGACGTCGGCTGGCCGGAGGTACAACCTGCGGCCACGGAGTAGTTACAGGCAGACGTGAGTTTGGTTGGAGAATTAACTGGAGATCGCTTTGTGCGCGTAATACTGTGAACGTTGTTGTTTCTGGGTTTCCAGTGTGAGTTTGGTTTGGGAGAGGTAAAGTCGTCGTGTACCGTAATACTTGTACTACGTTTCTGATTTTACGGGATGTTGACGAAATCTACACGAAGTGATGCTCTTGTTACCGAGCGATGTTTGTAAAGGTTTGCTCTTGAAATACTATGGGTGTGTTTGTTATTTTTAGAGTAGGTCAGAGACTCAGCTTTTAATTGAAAGCCGCATTATGGGTACACCCTCTGTTGTTTTACGATGTAAGGCTTTCTAGCATTGCTTATATATATATATATATATATATATATATATATATATATATATATATATATATATATATGTATATGTATGTATGTATGTGTTAATAAATCTAAACACATATACATATCTAGATTCATTAACATCTAAATAAATATAGGCTATGCTAAAAAGTCTTACATTGTGAAACGGAGGAAGTAACTATTAATTGAAAGCCGCGTTATTGATGTATTTGTTCCTGGTCACACTTTACCACGACTAAAATTAGATAAGTTATGATGATCACAAAAAATGTGGTGAGCAAATTTTAGTCACAAACTGTGTTAAAAAAAAGTTAAATCTATGATATACGAGACATGCTATTAAAAAAGTGTGGTCAGGGATGAATCTACCGTGTATTGGGCCGGTGTCAGATGACACTGACGACTTTCAGTAAAACCTATATTTAAACTGTTTATCCATAAATTAGAATACTATAATTTAAGTATAATTAGTATACTATGACTCTGATAGACACATTATGACATCAAGGAACTAATTTTCTGGATCCTTCACTAAGTGTGGCAAGCCAAGACTATAATTGTGAAATAGTGAGTCAAAACACATACTTAACAAAAATAAATTGTAGCGTGGTCAAGTGTGGCTATAGATGGCCATATGGCCCGAGGCCCATGGCTCGGCCCGAAGCCCACAGTTTTGGCCTGGCCCAAGCACGACACGGCCCGCCTGGGGTCGTGCCCGTGCCGGCTTGATCCAACAGCCGAGCCGTGCCTGGGCTACACCCTCGGCACGGGGTGGGCCAGCCCAGCACGGCCCGATCAAATAAAAAAAAATTAGGGATGCAAAATAGACTTATATAATCATGTAAGGCAAGACCCAAGACACGAGGTATAAAAAATAGACTTATTTTCCAGCCATTTAAACACAGCCCGCAGAGTTGAGGGACCCAAAAATAGACTTTTTCTGAGAGCAAGCACGATGGGTCTTCGTGCCTTCGAGCTGGCCCCGAGTAGTATTGGGTCGTATATGCCGCCCGTGGGCTGGCACGGCACAACACGGTGAGTCGGTTGGGCCGTGCCAGCCCGACAAGCCTCGGCCGAGGCACAGCCAGGCTTGGGCCATGCTGTGTCGGGCGGCCCAAATGGCCATCTATAAGTGTGGCTAGGAACCAAACATACCCTATATGCAGAGTCCCTAATAAGACCATTCTTAGCATTTCAAAGTGAAATTAGTGAAGAGTAAAAATGATCAATGTTTTTTATTATTAGAAAAAGTAGTAATGGTGATAGATAGAGGACATTTAAGGGATAAAACTTCCTGTTTATATGTTGAGGATAGGTAGAATAGTATAAATTAATTTTTTATGGGATAAAATTGAGGGCTTATTTGGTTTGATACCAATTTACTACCCTACCAAAATTTTGGCAACTTCAATAGTAGCAAGTGGATGTTTGGTTTGCTACCAAATTTTACCCACCATAGTTTAAATTGAATACTACCTAATTTGGTAGTACCAAAATTTGCCAATGTTTTAGTACTACCTAAATTTTAGTAGGGAAAAAATTGGCTCCAAACCAAACAAGCCCTGAAACAACACAAGTTAATTTTTTTTTTTGAACGGGGGAGTATGCTACAAGGCTGCAAACGAACACAGTTTTTGGAGCAAGTTTGCGGCCCACGACAGTATCCTGCCTGCGTCCCTCAACTCCCTTTGACGCTTCCTTTTTCTTTTTCTATTGTTTATTTATTTATTATACAAGGAAAAAATACTCAGCAAACTGTGGATTGTTTAATTTTCTGTATCCTACCAACCATTTGACTACTTTTATTTTCCCTGTGCAACAGGGGAAACATTGTGAGACCTTTTGCTATAGAAAATACGGAGTAGTTGACATTCTGGCAGTACGGCAACATAAACCCAAAAACTATACTGTTTTTTATTTCATTTTCTGAAGATTTTTTAATTCATTTTTCTATTTCATAGTTGACCTTTTTTATTTCATTTTTGAAGACTAACCATTTAATCATGTTTCTTCTTCTTGCACCTCTCACCTTTTTTTTTAAACTTGATCCTATCGTGCACGTATGCTCTGCCCGTGGAGTAGGAACAGACGAACAGTCGTACGCTTGCCACCGGCACCAACCAAAGCCCCCGGTAAAATCCATTTCACGGGTCAAGAGACCAAACCAGAAACCGGGCACGGGGGCACGCATCTACCAGAAACGCAGTACGTGCACGGCCCGAGCTCCCACCGTATCACTATCCGCGATCGAGTATCCGTCCCTCTCGCCCCCGCGCCGAGCGTGGCGTACCTTCCGTCCTTCCACCGGAGCAAGTGAGTAACCAGGCCAAAGTAAACGGCTAGTACGTACGTATACGCACACCCAGTCGTCGTACGCACATTTCCCACACGTTTTCACCTGTAAAATCCCGCCCGCCAGCGACGGCGCGGCGTATGCGTCCGAAATACCGGCGCGCGCATGTACGGGTAGGCCATCGGCCAGCGGCAGCCGTAAGCCGCCACCTCGGCTCAACCGCAGAACGGTTCGCCTCTGCAGCCACGTGCTCCTGGCGGGGCGGAGCGCGCGCGACGCGTGCCCCGGCGGATCGTTCCGCCGGAGGCAACGAGGCCCGCTCCACGCGTCCACGTTGCTTGGCCGGCCGTGTCTATCTTCTCCGCCGACAGTTCAGGGCTGCGTTCGTTCATTGGGAGATTGTCACTCGTTTTTCGCGCGCACGCTTTTCAAACTATTAAACGGTGCGTTTTTTTCAAAAATTTCTATAAAATAGTTACTTTAAAAAAAATCATATTAATCCATTTTTAAAGTTTAAAATAGTTAATACTTAATTAATTATGAGCTAATAGCTCACATCGTTTTGCGTATCTTTTCAAACTACCTGATCCTCCCTCTATCAAACACACCCCCATAAAGTTCAGATCAGCAACAAAGCCTACGGATAGCGTGAGATGAGCATGTGAGAGCGACACTCGGTTCCTCCTAAAGAGTAAATTTCATACTAATTTGATTAATCCATCGTAAAACTATGTATTTAAAAACATATGTGTATAAAAATCCAAACAGATTTAATATCATATTTTCACAAAACTACAGATTTAATGTATCGTATTAGAAAACTACAGATTCAACATTAATTTTATCAACATAATTACAAATTTTACGATCTTAATATGTTATGGATATAAACTCTAAAATTTGTAGTTTTGTGATATGATACTTTACATCTAAAGTTATGTGTTAACTTTGACATTAAATTTGTAGTTATGTCATATATATTTAAATTTATAGTTTTGTGATAGTTTGATAATGTGTTGACGCGAAAAGCACACACTGGTCTGGAGATCTGTTTAGCTCCAGTGCAGGTCCAAATCTTGGTGAGATGCGGGCGTGCCAGTCAGTTTGATCCTACAACTGACAAGATATGTAAACAGTAGATCAAATAGCCGATCGGCTGACAAGCCGATAGAGCAATCCCAGCCGATGCCGATACTAGCCGATAACGATAGAGTTTTGAGTAATCGGCTATATGTTCAATGTAGATAATGATATAAAGGCGATCGGCTGATGATGATAAATAACAATAATATAATCCAGTAGAAACTAATCGGCTAACAATGATATGATAGAACAAATATTGATCCGAAAGTTAAAGCATACATCGGCTGAAGTTCCGATGTCATAAAATCCACAAGATTAGATAGATCAATGAAACATTTGTTATCATCGGCTAAATCTAACTTATATATATACAATCCTTATAAGCCGATGCAACGTCTAGATAACTTATCGGCTAGCACCCCGATAAAACATTAGCATGAACCTATCGGCTTAACAAGACTTATATTATCAATAACAATCTAGTAGGTCGAACCTAACCGATGCAGCATGAGATTGTATATGATAATCTAATACTCGATGAGCTGATTGATCTATCTAATGTGATGGATATAACAAATCTATTTAGAACAGCATTGTGATTGTAGAGATATATCGGCTAAGACAGAAGATCGGACCTAACCGAGACAGTTCCAACTAAACCGATGCGTCTCTAAACACAATGCAATTAGAGATAGAATTGAGATATCAGGTAGGCAAATATATCAACCAAACCAGAGCGATCCAAGAGATCGAAGCAATGCAGCCTTGAACAATACCAATGTAGCCGATAGATTCACCAGGACCGGTGGAACATAGGGCTTACCCCTTCGCCGGAGATCGAAAGCCGATGCAGCCCCGCGTCAAGAGCCAAGTTCTACCGAATGATAAGTAAAAACCTCGGTAAAGAGGGTGGCAATGCGTCGAGAGTAGTTGTATTGATCGAGAGATTCTTTTACAATGACCCCGGGTGTACATATTTATACCCATGGGGAGATACTAGTCCTTGTAGGATAAGAAAGAAACTTTCCTAAGGATAAAAGGAAAACATAAAGCAATTATCGGACACTAAACACATTTTCCTAAAGATAAAAGAAAACTAACAAACTATTCCTAATTAATAGATAAACTATCATGCCGCATCCTCCTTGAACTCGGTCTCTTCTGGATAAGGTTCCTTGAATAGATTAATGTCCTTAACCGAATCCTCCAAGAATCCGACTGCTGGTGACTTGATAACTCTTATCGGCTAATGCCAGGACTCTGAAGCCGATACTGACTCTAAGCCGATGATTACTCCAGACTTACCAAATTTCACTATTAATATAAAGTATATATATTTAAATTTATATAAAGTATATATATTTAAATTTATAGTTTTATGATAGTTTGAAAAGTTCTGTGAAATATACTCTAAAATAAATAAAGGAGTAGTTTTATCTTTCGGTGAGGACTTCTTTAAATGAACGAAGCCCTATGGCTGGATTAAGTATTATTCTGGATCATGCATCCGTCACATAAGAAATAACCTAGTATTAAATGTGACACATCCTAATACAACAAATCTAGATATATGCATATCAAGCCCGGTACTAAATTGATTTTTCTGTGAGACGGAGGGAGTAAACCATTGTTAATGTAAAGACAAAACAGAGAGAATAAATAAAGATCGAAACATGTTCTTTTTTCCTAAAAATGAAAATGAAGATTAAGTTTTTTATGCAAAACGAGGTGGTATTAATGTATGATTGATTGAGTTTTAATTATTACAAACTTAAAAAATAGATTAATATGATATTTTAGAGCAACTTTCATATAGAAAGTTCGGACGAAACACACCGTTTAGCAATTTGAAAAACGTGATCTTAATCTTCATCTAACTTTTATTGGAGAAAAAAACTGGTTAATGCACACGAAGCATCACCCAATTTCAAATCTCATTTATTACATCTAAGGATGAAAACCCGTCGGAAAAATATTTGTCGGAAACTACTCTAGTCGGTCCGGAATTTCTATACCTGCTAATTTAACTATTTATCATCGACTGTAGTACGTCGAAAGGAATTTAAGAAATTAAAATTTTACATACAGATAAAATCAAAAAGGTAAAAAAAATACTTCCCCAATTTTATATTATAAGTTGTTTTGATTTTTTCTTAGTCGTTTGTAGAAAAAAAATATATGATAATTTAGTAATATAGATGTTCACTAATTTTTCTATATATTTTGTCAAACATAAAAAAGTTTGATTAGAGAAAACGTAAAAACGATATACTATGAAATGGAGGAAGTATTAATTTATAAAACAATACTCCCTCCGTTAAAAAATAATCAACCTATTACGGGAGAGAGTACTCGATTGGTTAAAAATTTTATGTTACCGTTTCTATCCCACTTTATAGTTTAAAATAAGTGAGAAAAAAAAATGTGCTACTACATGGAAAGATGTTTATAGTGATTTTCCCTTTCTTGGGAGTCTGAAGTCCATGCTCTAGAAAGTGGACTAGTCGTAGAATTGTAGAAAGCAGAAACGATCATGCAAGAAGCTTCTATTGAAAGGCCATGAGAAGGTCACCGTTTCAGCGGCGCTTAAATATCGTACTAATCACTATCAGTAGCTGTACCTGTTATAATTAATTCTATGTATGTAAGCGACCCGCGTTGCCCGTTTTACAAACAGTGCCGCACCTGCTGTTCGATTGGTTCTGCACATGTTTGAAAGCTCAAACTAAATAATACTAAAACAGCATTACATAATTTGGAATATATATATATAGTGGCCTCTGATGATTGGGTTCAGTTTGAGCCGCGAACTGCTCTTTATTTCCAGTGGCAATCATTAAACAAGGCTATACAAAGATTACAGTGTTAGGTATAATCTTTTTCCCAATATGTTACTTAGTGGAGAATTTTATCATACGAAATAAAAAGCATTTGCCAATGTTCTTGTCGAATAAAAGGTTCATGCATATAAGTGCCACTGGAGAAAAATACTGGATGGATTAGAAAATGACCACCACTAGCTCCTCCCGGGCTTAGTGGATTAGTACATTCCAGATAGGACTTTGAGATGATATTTGTGTTCCCTTGGTTTATCAGTTGGGCAACTGGCATCGCATCAACCACAATTATCTTTGGCCAATGGAGCATCAAGTTTTGGATAGGGCAGAACTTTAACAAAAAGGCATATCTCGATTTGTTCAAAGATTAGGCCTAAAGTAGTAGTTACAGTAACACCACTACAGAGTTTGATGCCAATTATCTAACCAGGCGACACCAACCTTTGCAATCGATTAGCCCGATAATTAATTTGTTTACGAATATGCATTTTTTATATTTGTTAAATGTGAGGTTAAACAAAGGTTAATTGCTCAAGCAATAAACTGATGGAAGAAGATTCCTCGCGGACAGGGGCAATAGAGTCATTTCGAAACCGGCCGCCTTTCTATAACTGGGGAGCAAAGGGTCCCAGATTCCTCACAAAAATCCACACCGCAAACGCAGCAGTAGAAGCAACCCCACACGCTCACAAGTCACAAGAGCGAAGAAGATTTCCCCAATTTCTTTCTTACCCTTGCCGTTGCTCGTCCCGCGAGAGGCAGCATCCAAATCCGCCGAATTTAATCGCGCCAAGACCGAATTTTGGCCATTTTTCATTCAATTTTTGGTCCAGGAACCCCGAATGCGCCGAGTTCACCTCGCCAAGACATCAAATTCGTGATTTTTTTTTTTTAGTTTGCGAGTTCGCGTGTTTCGAGCTCGTCGGAGGGATCTCGGGGTCAGGCGGCCATGTCGTTGCCGGCGATTTCCCTGTACACCAGCCCACCACCGGGCGCCGTCTACTCGTCGGAGTTCGATCCGAGCTCCCGCGGCTCGTCGCCGCCCTGCTCCACCGCGCCGCCGTCCACCTCTCACCGCCCGCCCGCCGCCGCGGGCGGGCTGTCCTGCCTCTTCTCCTCCCCGGCCGCGGCGGCCTCGCCGCCTCGTGCCCCGCCGCACGACGAGCTCGGTGCGCTGTGGCAAGATAGATCCGACGAGCCCGCCTTCGCCGGCGGCGGCGGCGGCTACTCGTCCTCGCCGCTCAAGTGGCGTGACCTCCACCACCACCATCACCACAGCCCCGTGTCGGTGTTCCAGGGCCCGTCGTCCTCTCCGGCGGCCTCCCGCAGCCCGCCGGCGTCGTGGCTCGCCGGCCGCGACCGCGACCGCGAGCGCCTCTTCGCCGGCTTCGTGCGCAACGCGCTGGGCTCCTGCGTTGACTACGCCCCGGCACTCAGCCCGCGGTCGGAGGTCGGCGGCGGCGAGCTCGCGTTCGAGCTCGACGAGAACCTCGCGGAGGCGAGCCCCGCCTGCGAGCCGTGCGCCCGGGAGCTCCTCGCCGGCGCCCAGGCTCGCCACCGCATCTTCCACGAGGAGCTCGTCGTGAAGACCTTCTTCGAGGCCGAGAAGGCTCACCGTGGCCAGGTCAAAACCGCGAGCTACACAATCTTTAGCTATTGGTTCTTGGAACACTTGAATTGCTTCTGCATCAGTCTCTTATCTTGTTCAGTTTGTGATTTGTGATTAGACCCGGGCGAGTGGCGATCCATACTTGCAACATTGTGTAGAGACAGCCGTGCTTCTGGCCAATATTGGGGCGAATTCGACGGTCGTCTCCGCCGGGCTTCTGCACGACACCATTGACGATTCATTCATTGATTATGATCACATCTTTCACATGTTCGGAGCCGGCGTGGCCGATCTCGTTGAGGGGGTACGTGTTCCAGTTTCCTTGGATTTTGATAATTGTTCCCAGTGGATCGGTTAATGAGTTTTATAATATGAACATTGAACTTATTTTGGATTATCACGCTGCTGACAGGACCAACTTGAATTATTTGATCTGAATTACCATGGTTTATCCCTTTATATACTTAAAGTCAATTATCATGTGTCTGCATTTTTTCTAATGTAAGACAACTATATTTTACATCCCTCACTAATAAAGGTTCCTCCATTTGGGGTCAATGTACGACTTCTATGATATGATTTAAGTAGCTTAGGTACTAAGTCTAGTGCATTAAAAGGTCACTTTCTCTGTAGCATTATTTCTCATATGATGAATTTGTGACAATTGGCAATATATTTAGTGAAATACGTCATAGCATTGTGTACAGAGAAAATAGATTGTATTGTTGCAAAACTAATGGTTGATATCTAATATGTTCAGGTCTCAAAGTTGAGCCACTTGAGCAAACTTGCTCGTGATAACAACACAGCAAGCAGGATTGTTGAAGCAGATCGATTGCACACAATGCTTCTTGCAATGGCTGATGCACGGGCAGTTCTAATAAAATTAGCTGACCGTGTGCATAACATGAAAACTTTGGAAGCTTTACCTCTTGGTAAACAACAAAGATTTGCTAAGGAGACCATGGAGATCTTTGTTCCTTTGGCTAATCGATTAGGGATTGCCAGCTGGAAAGACCAGTTGGAAAATCTTTGCTTCAAGCATCTGAATCCAGAAGAGCACAAGGATCTATCATCTAAACTAACCAAATCCTTTGACGAAGTGCTAATCACATCTGCTGTGGACAAACTAGATAGAGGTCTGAGGGATGCAGGCCTCTCATATCACAATCTTTCTGGGAGGCACAAAAGCCTATACAGTATTCACAACAAGATGCTAAAGTATGTTACAAGGCTTTCTGTTTGCATTATTTACGGTTTTAAAACTTGACGATGAACCACATTTTTCTTTCTTTCTGCTAACTGGTCTTCGCACATTATCAGGAAGAATTTGACAATGGATGAGATCCATGATATCCATGGCCTGCGTCTCGTGTTTGAGAAGGAGGAAGATTGCTATCGAGCACTTGATGTTGTTCATGAACTATGGCCCCAAGTTCCTGGAAGATTTAAGGACTACATATCTCGTCCAAAATTAAATGGGTACGCTGAGTTGAACATTGATATGACCATTCTTCATTCACTTTCTGCTATACTTTGCACTGATTTGCTTTCTACAGGTATCGATCATTGCACACTGTTGTCATGAGCGAGAATGTCCACCCATTTGAAGTCCAGATCCGTACAAAAGAGATGCACCTGCAAGCTGAGTATGGATTCGCAGCACACTGGAGGTACAAGGAAGGCACCTGTAGGCACTCCTTTGTACTCCAGATGGTGGAATGGGCTAGGTGGGTGCTTACATGGCAATGTGAAGCAATGAACAAAGAACGACCTGCATCTCTAGGCGACAGTGATGCAATTAGGCCACCCTGTCCATTTCCCATGCATTCAGAAGACTGCCCTTACTCATATACTCGGCAATGCGACCATGATGGACCGATATTTGTCATCCTACTGGAACATGACAAGGTGAGCGCAGTCTCCAGTTAAACCCATTCCTAGAAAATTGCAACCGTATCGCCTTTGATTATAGTTCTCACTAAGTTTGTCCCTGTGATTCCAGATGTCTGTGCAAGAATTCCAAGCAAACTCAACTGTAATGAACCTCATGGATCGAGTTGGGACCAACACTCCAAGATGGAGTCCCTACCGCATCCCCATGAAGGAAGATCTGCGACCGAAGGTTAACCACGAGCCCATAAGCGATCTGAACCGGAAGCTCAGCATGGGGGATGTGGTGGAGCTGACACCGGCCCTTCCTCACGAGTCGCTCCCCAATTACCGGGAGGAGATTCAGCGCATGTACGACCGTGGCGGATTCGCCCTCGCCACCCGGGGTGGCAGCTCGAGGCGGTGACAGTACTTCGACAATCTTAACAGCCCCACCGCATCATTGTACAATGTTGTCCAACCTAATTCAATTCATTGTAAATACAACCCTAATTCTTCGCAGCCGCAGAAACCGGAACAACACCCCCACCAAGTTCTGTAAGCTGGGGGGAGTCTGTTCTGCTGCCTGGAGTCTGTTAGCTTGACCCAGGAGGCTGCAATGTGTAAAAGTAAAAACAGTGTATAATCTTTTCCAAGGTAGTTCCAGCTTCTCCCAGGATTTGTGGAGAGGAGGCTGTAGCAGAATCTACAACCTGTGTCCTTGTTTTAGATCTTTGTGATGGAAGCAATGCCAAGTTGTCAACGGCAGAGCTGCTGTGAGAGCAGCAGTGACGTCAGCTACTGGCAGCTGGCCGGTGTCTGCCTGCCTGCTTGGCTTCCAAGCATGCAGCTGTGTGTGTGGACCAGAATCTTGGGATGTCCGTTTCTGGCGAGGTGAATGTGTCTCGGTGGAATCTTCCGGTGCAGGAGGGTAGCTGGACTGGAAGAAGACGGCCGGCCTCTTGTTCCAGTGGATCCCGCGTCTTGGGGTGAATCCTCGGCTGTGGGACCAACCACTGTACGCGTGGCTGCCGACGTCGCCGCTGCCGAACGCTTGGGCTGGTGGTTGGTGTCGCCGGCGTGCCGCCGGTGGCTGGACTGGAGCCTTTGTTCACGGCTCTATATGCCACCTGGGACATGTTCACTTCCATTTCATTGCTGCTGTTAATTATCACTATAATCACTCTCACTTAAAAACGACGCGTTGTTAGTACACTAATCACTATTAACTTCGGTTTGCTCAAATTTGACATGGAAACTAAAACTAAAATGCGTCATGCCGTTTGGCAATATTTGAATGCAGATTTTGTTCCTATTTAGGCAGCTTCTCCTAAATCCACAGCTCTTCCAAACAATGCATATTTTGACTCGGATCATAAAAATGTCGCTATAGAATCTCATTTAGGTTACCAAAAACTCACTACCAACCAACCATTTCTTGTAATTTTAAATTTTCTAAACAAAGTACTTTGAACCTTTTTTGAACGGATATGACGATGAATACCACCACTATACCAGTCAGCTATAGAAGATAGGAACGAGTCGCCTGTTGCCTGCTACAGTTGAAACGTGAGCATGCATCTAGCCTTTGTCTCCGGTGCGTCTTCTTTCCGTCGACGTGGACAGGTCGAGAAGCGGCCAGGTGCAGCGAACGAGCACGGCAGCAAGCAACGGGGGCCACTTGCGTTTGCGTGCATGCGCTCGCTGCCACTTGTGATATCGAGGCCACGTCGGCTGTCGCCACTCCGACGTGGACCCGACCGCGAGGGAGATAAAGATTTTGGGATGGGAATAATGGTTTTTGTCTCATCTTCTCTCAAGGACGAAAATTCGAGGGAGAGTATACGTGTAGATGCACGTGTAGTGTTCGTAAAGGATGCGTACTATGGTTAGGTCAGTGTAGGAGCTTGACTTGGCATGGGACATTGACAAATGGCCTATGTATGGTACAGTTGTTTGTTTCTTTTTTTTTCTACGTAGTCGGCAATTCGGCATTGCATTTCAAACAGTTGTTTTGGTTTTTTTTTTCGAAAAATAAATATGAAGGTAAAATTAACCGCAGAGTTTGTACTTTTCTAGATGACACAGATTTGCCATGAAGAAGTTTATGAATACATGCAATTTATTTACCCGTTGATCGTGGTACGCACCAACCATACAAGTTCTAGAAGATTCAGCAGAGAACAATATTCCACTAACCATATGTTATTTAGGGATAAGGTGGGACGGATTGAACTCATCCTATTTTTTGGATAGGATGGTCCAATATATTTGTTTGGCATGAGAGATATTCCTATTTTTTCTACATGTTAGCAAAAGAAAAAAGTGAATTGGATTGGTCCACCATTTTTTAAAAGAACAAGCCAACCCGGATCTTAGAAGAATATTCACTGTCAGCACCATCCTATCCCACATGTCTCTAAACCAACATCCTGAAAAAATGGGTATAACCCAACCCTACCTATCAGAACCCTTGAACCAAACACATACTAAGTTACACCCAATGTTTCTACAATGTTTTTATACTATGTGTTTAGATCTTGCCAGCTTAGTTGTCAATAGTCCACGTTGATTTTTACCATCCTAAATCATCCTATTAAAAAAAAGGCAATTTTTACAACCCAAGATCATCTCTGTTACTTTAAACAGAGTCATCCTCATTCCATCTCCTCCCACCACGTGCAGAACGTTTCGCGTAACCACCGGATTCAATATTTTATCTTTAGTGAGTCTCGTAGCTCTTTCCTTATTATGTGGGCGTAGCCCATTACAAGATACGAATAGATTCCTAGTACTCCCTCCATCCAAAAGTATTATGACATATTTTTTTTGTCATCAAGACTATGAAAAGGTAGAGTCGTAGCAAAGAACATAGCCACAGCATGCCGAATAAGGGCAATAGCAGTGCAAGGCACGCTTGCCGTGCCTCCGGCCCATTCCAGCAAGGCGCAGTCTCGTGACCCCACGCCTTCCTCCTTATCCTCACGCGTCACGCCCACGCGCCGCTTTTCTCCTCATCCCCACGCGCCGCTTCTCGTCATCCCCGCACCGTCGACGAGCTAGGCCCCCTCCTCTCTCCGCCGTCGCCGGCCTCCCCTCCTCCCTCCGCCATCACTGGCCTCCCCTCCTCCCTTCGCCATCACTGGCCTCCCCTCCTCCCTCCGCCATCACTGGCCTCCCCTCCTCCCTTCGCCGGTGAGAGGACAGAGACGACGACGACGCCTGGTTGAGGAGGCCGAGGCGGCAACGTGGATCTGGACCGGCGATGGATTGGTCTCTCTTCTCTTCCCTTGCCAGCTCCCCTCTCACCTCACCTCTCCGGACGAGCGGCGGCGAAGGTAGAGAAAGAGGAGGCGAAGGTGGAGAAAAAGGAGGCAAAGGTAGAGAAAAAGGTCACGTCGAATCGAAGCAACGACTTCTACAGTGCGAGTTTCCTTCGCCACACGCCCTTGTTGCGGTGAGAACACGTGTCTCCCAGTTAGGGGGCAAGCAGCCGAGCAAAGGTGCGGGTCTTGGCGCCACGTACGCGTGAATCCGAGCTGGCGCTGTAGGAGAACTGTGAAGGGCCTAAAGTACCTTAGCTTTTTCCATGAGAAATAATTGGTTCGAACAATTGGCATACCAGTTCAAGCTATCGGCATTACCATGAGAAAGTCAGCTACTAACCCCCCCGCCCCCCCGGCCCCCGAGTCCCAGTAGAACTACTATAGCATTCTGGCAATCATTGTAAAGTCTGAGCATTTGATGCTGCTATAGTGTACTCTGTACCTTGAGAAACTATTTATAGCATTGCATTGCATAGCTTGCTTACACATAAGCTGGGTAGACAATTGTATCATGACAAAAACCACTTCCTTGCACGGCTTGCTGGAAAAGGCTTCTGGCCTTGCAAAATGAATTCCAGCAGCTGAGCCTATAACAGTGCACACTACTACATCACCTCCTACTCCTAGTCAGTAGGTGCAAGTGCAACGCCCAGTCAGTCAATTACTTGGGGGATATTGTATATCACAAAAGCATCGTCTCATCAGCACAGGTGAAGTAGGCACCCCACCCGGTCGGCATGCATAGACGGCAACAGCGAGCGAATGAAGAAGCTAACTGGTGAGCGACGTCAGCATTCCGCCGCCGCTCTTCGTCGGCACCACCACCTCCCAGCCGGGTCCCTTCAGGGGGACGAGAGGGGCGGCGTCGGCATTGGCAGGAGGGCCTGTAAGGTCGCTCCGGTCCATCACCTTCAGGAGGTCCTCATCGCTGATGTCCGTCTGGATCATCCGGTCCTCGTCGCCCTGCTCGTCCCTGAGCAGCGCCAGCAACTCCGCTTCCTGCATAATCATAAGAAATGTCACTGTCAGAGAGGATTTTCGTGGTGTCGACATTCTTTCAGTGTACAAAAATAGTCCAAACAAAGAAACATTACATCTAGGGCATTAGGCTTGGCTCTGTCTTGTTCAAACTGACCCTTCCCGATCACCACATGCTCCAACCTCAACTTGCCAAATGCTTTCTTGATGATCCGGCCCTGCAACATCATTAAGATGAGCAACTATCCAACAGGTTTAGCCGACGTCTGAAGATAAAGGATCATCTAACATACCTCAACAGAATGTGATGTTGCTAACCGATAGACGTGAACTGGGCGTGTTTGACCAATCCGGTGACATCGATCCATGGCCTGCAAATCCATCTGAGGATTCTGCAGAATGATGGCAAAAGTTTAACAAATCACAACTAAACCAGCTAATAGAAAGTAAAGTTACAGTAGGCAGGAGCGAAGAAGTCACTACATGCCTACATTCCACCCATTCAAACAGGCAGTTAGCTAATTTTAAGTAAAGTTACAGTAGGCAGGAGCGAAGAAGTCGCTACGTGCCTACATTCCACCCATTCAAACAGGCAGGCGGCGTGCAAAAACATCTTGTAATGTTCTTGCTGTAATATGAATATTTAGCCTGAAGAAATACAATAATATCAATAGGGAATTACCCAGTCACTATCATATAGGATACAGGTATCCGCTGAAGTAAGATTGATACCAAGCCCGCCAGCCCGTGTGCTTAGAATAAAGATATTCATGCTGCTGTTCAAGTCATTAAATTCTGCTATCTGCAAGAGTAGTGCACAAAATGGTGAGAACAGTATTAGACTAAAAATGGATGTTAAAAGGTAACATGGCGAAAAATGAGAATCCTAATTGTATTTTAGGATAGTATAGTCAACGTATATGCGTCTAGAACTTTACACGCCAAGTAGTAATCAGTAATGCACTGGCACAGCCTGCTTTACCTGCCTCCTCCTCTCTTCCAACTTAACACTCCCATCAATTCGGCAAACCTGAAGGCCTTTTGTTTCCAAGTAGTACTCGATAATGTCCAAAACTTTTGTCCACTGTGAAAATATTAGAACCTACACAAAATACCGGTTGAGGTCTAGTTTTTTTCCTTAAAGAGTTCGAGCTAGCATTTGCATTAATGTAATCCCTGAATTAAACAGAATAGGAGAGAACAATATACCTTGTGCTTCCGTGCAAGCAGCAAACTTAGCAATCTGTTCAAGAGCTGAAATTTGCCGCACTGTTCCAAGAGCTTCTCAACAGGTGGATACAGACCTACAGAAAGACAATAAAGCAAATAAGTGTTAGGAAACGAGCATGTGAATCAATTGATAACAGATGTCCAATGTGGAACAACCTGATGAGTCATACGCAGACTC